TGAAAAAGACGACAAAAAAGTTCGAGACCATTGTCACCTGACTGGGAAATACAGGGGACCCGCACACGAAAATTGTAATCTCCAATTTAGGGATGGCCACACCGTTCCCGTAGTATTTCATAATCTTTCGTCGTATGACGGAAATATAATAATAAAAGCTCTAGCCAAATGTGATGGGTCGATCGACTTGCTACCTGTAAACAAGGAAAAGTATATTTCCTTTACGTGGCACCTAAATGACAACTTGGTGAAATTCCGATTCATCGACAGTTTTCGATTTATGTCGAGTGGCCTGGACAAGCTGGCGGCTAATTTAACGGAATATCCGATACTGGAGCTCGAATTTAGTGAATTGTCGGAGGAGCAAGCCAATATATTGAAACAAAAAGGCGTTTTCCCCTACGATTATATGAATGGATGGAATACGTTGAAAGAAACTGTTTTGCCTCCTATTTCGGCATTTTATAACATATTGGATGACAAACCGTTGACCAAAAAAGATTACAAACGTGCTCAGGAAGTCTGGGAGAAACTTGGATGTCGAAATTTGCAGGATTATTCTGAACTTTATATGAAGACGGACATCCTGCTCTTGGCAGACGTTTTTGAGAGGTTTCGAGAAACGTCACATAAGACCTATGGACTTGATCCTGCACATGCGTACACACTGCCGGGATACGCGTGGAGGTGCATGTTGTATAAATTGAAGCAAAAACTAGATCTACTCACTGACGTCGACATGATTTTGTTTATCGAGAAAGGAATGCGAGGAGGCCTTAGTCAGTGCTCCAAACGATATGCGGAAGCCAACAACAAATATATGCACAGCTACGATCCCTCCAAAGTTGATAAATACTTGATGTATTTCGACGTCAATAACCAATACGGGTGGGCAATGTCTCAATACCTACCGTACGGAGGTTTTAATTGGTTGGATGAACAGCAAATCGAAAATCTTGACATTTTAAATATATCCAACGAGTCGGACGTCGGCTACATCTTGGAGGTCGATTTGGAAATACCCGAGGAGTTGCACGACAAATTTGCAGATTTACCTCCATGTCCCGAACATCGCTGCCCTCCAGAATCCGAAAATCAAAAATTACTGACCACCTTATACGACAAGCAGGAGTATGTCATTCACTATCGTAATCTGAAACAGGCGCTACAATTGGGAGCTAAGTTAAGAAAGGTACATCGAGTCATCTCGTTCAGCCAGTCGCCTTGGTTAAAAGCCTATATCGACCTAAACATTGCACTACGTCAGGCTGCCAAAAACGAGTTTGAAAAGAACTTGTTTAAATTGATGATCAATGCTGTGTTTGGAAAAACAATGGAAAACATACGGAACCATTCCAACGTTAAGCTTGTGAAAAACTGGGAAGGTCGCTACGGTGCGGAAGCTCTGATTGCCCGACCCGAGTTTAAAAGTGCAACTATAATTAGTAAAAACCTCGTTCTTATTGAATTAAAAAAATCTGAAATATATTTTAACAAACCTATCTACGTTGGGATGTCAATTATGGAGATAGCCAAAACAACAATTTATGACTTTCACTACAACTACATTCAAGAAAGATTTTCCAATTCCCGAGTTTTATATACCGACACCGATTCTCTTGTATACGAGATATTAACCATAGACCCGTACGAGATTCTAAAAATGGATTGTTACCAGTATTTTGATACTTCCGACTATGCGGAGGATAATCCGTACGATATACCCAGAGTCAATAAAAAGGTTTTGGGTCTGATGAAGGATGAAAATAATGGACGAATTATGTCTCATTTTATCGGACTGAGAGCTAAAATGTACGCCACAAAGTTCTATAAAACACCCGAGCAAGAAGAGACCGCAAAACAACAATTGATGACCGCAGAAACAGATCGCGAAGCATTTGAACGTGAATTTAAAAACTTGGGTGTTACGAAGAGGATCAAAGGAGTTAAAAAATCCGTCATCAAAACTAAGATAACTTTTGAAGATTTCGTCGATTGTTTGCAAAATTTTTCTGAAAAAAGCATATCACAGAATTTAATAAGAGCGAGCAAACTGGAGTTGCACACAGTATCCCAAAAGAAGATCGGGTTAAGTCCTTACGATGATAAACGTCACATATCAAAGTTATCAGTAGAAACGTTGCCGTGGGGACACTATTCAATTATGGAAGAAGAAACTGTCTCCGCTTGATTGTAAATGTGTTTTATTGGTTTTGTTTTGAAATTTTGTTTTTCCTAAAAATCGAATGAGGTGCACTTAAGGACTCAATTGACGTCTGGCAGCCTCGTTAAGTTTTTATTTTAAAAAATGCATGAAATATTTTGATCTTTTTCATTATATTTTATGAATATTTAGAATAAAAATGACCGGAAGGCCTTAATATTTTTCGCTTATTACCTCCAACTACTTTTATTATATTTTCCACTGTCAATAAACAGTTTGACTCCTGTTAATATGGTTTTTAATTTTTGCAACTAACCAGTACCTATAGTACGTGTCTACTGTTAACAGCAAACAGATGACCGATTTGCAAATGCCTATTTTGAAAAAGTGTTTATCTAGAAGACATTTATTTAAAGATTAAATGTGCTATATATTCAACTTTATCTCGAACCAATTTGCGATGTCAATGCCTCGCAACCGCAGATAAGAGACTACGGTGCGGCGATATCCTAGTGGGCGGATGGATCGCCTTTGCTTTTATGGCGCAAAATATATTTGCGTGTGCTATCAGTAATTTTGTTGGGTGTTAATTTTTTTTGCCAAATTACGTCATGTGAAAGTCGACACGCTTTAAAATTGCATGCGGCAGACTGCACGTCCGAGGCGGTTGTGTGTCAAGTCGTTCCCGTCTGAGCACGTGGACCTTGAGCCTCCCACCTGCATGGCTCTCTGGTGACAACATACGTTCATCGTGTTTATTCAAATAGGCGTTTGTGCCTTTCGATTTTTAAGTCAGTTTTTAATTTTTAATTTAACCATTGCAGGGAGAACATGTGAATAAATACATTTAATGTGTATTGTAGACTATATTCAGTGCAATGTCAAGTGCGATATCTATTTCCCAATGACTCTACAACTGATAAGTTTTATGATTTTAATTTACCCTAATACAGTGCGAGTCTTTTTTGTTTTGTTTTTGTGGGTTTCAGTTTTCGTTAATTTTCTCAGTGATTTGTGAATAACAAAAAACAATGATCACTTTTTTTGGTCAGTTCCTACCTGTTTTTATAATATAATAATCCACTTTTTTACGTTGCATAATAATCGAATTAAATTGAAATATATAGTGTTTTTTAAATATCCTTTAAATGACAGGGAATAGAAATGTGGCTTTACCTACGTCACTTACTGAAAGTTTTGTTTTAAAAATGTGTTTTATAGGCAACGCGACATATACATATTTTGTTTCTTGTTTGTTCTAGAAAAAACACGGTTTGACAATAATCCGCGTTTTTACTTTGCAAAAATAATCAAATTAAATTGAAGTATATAGTGTTTTTAATGTTTTTTAAATGACAATAAGTAGAAATGTGAATGTTGGTATGTGTGTGTGTAATTTTCACACACATTATATTAGCGCATCCAGCAGGGTGGGTGGTTGACAGAGGGAGACGGTGAGGAGTGTATTTCCTATATAGATTTCTCGAAAGAACGGGAACAAGAACGTCATCAACAGGATCACCGGGATGGCCGACTAACTGGACGCGGGAGGGGTGGGGTTGAGGGGGAGACGGTAGGTTGGTTGGTGCTAAGAGGGTATGGATCGAATGACCTTGAGCGGGACCAATTTCCGCTAATATGAACCTTAAATTTTCTTATGGGAATTTACATGTAAAAATGAGAAAATTTATTCTTGAACTGTCATAACCTATCTACTTACAGGTGCAAGGTATTTGGAAAAAAATGGATAATGTAGTAGTGAATACATGGAAATTGTGTAATATTTTTAACGAACAAAAGATTTCCCAGGTAGATTTTAAATCTTACATTGCTTTGCGACTTTTAAAAACTGATAAAACAATTACTCAAAGAAATCTTGCACTTGCCGTAGATGAAGTGCGTTATGATTATCAAGGTCATCTCATGATTGTTCATGCTAATAAAGCCCGAAGGAGATGTAGAATCTGCCACAGCCACACAATTTACGTTTGTAATAAGTGTAAAAATGAAAACGGGTGTTTCCAGTGGTGAGCTCACGCACCATAAAATATTATGCGGTTTTTTGTATCAAATCAGGTTCTATTTGGAAAACAATCTACTTTTAGTTGTTTTCTATCGAATTTGAACTCTCTTTTGTATATTTATGTATAAATAATATGTTACATCTTATGTGCCCCAAAATATTATTTAATGTTTTTTCGTTTACGCACCAGTATTTTTTTGTATGTTTCAGGTTTTAATTTTTTTTTAAATAAATAATTTCCGAGTAAAAAATGTTTTATTTTTTTTTTATGCTTCGGTTAATATGGGTTAAAGGGACCATTTTGATGCTGCAATTTTTCCTTATAGAACGCCTTTTTGTGTTTCACTTTCGGACGAAACCAATTTCAAATAGGGACTAATTCCGTAATTTCATCAAAACCAAACACTCTCCTGCAATACCGGGAAGAAATCCAATTAAATGCGAAAACGAATAACGTCGAGTACACAAGACTTCTAGAAATAATAGTGGCCGTTTGATGATACATGTTTAATGGAAAGCAAACAAAAAACAACCTGTTAAACGTTTCGCCATTTTATTTGTTCTGCAGTCTGCAAAATTCGTTGCTGAAAATATTACGACGATATTTGAACGGCGTTGTGATATTTACGTCTATAAATTATTCACGGCATGTTGAAAGAAATTCGACATTCGCAATCTGACAAAAATAAATATACGTCTTTGTTGAATTAATTGGGGGGAAAGTGGCCCAAGTAAATTTAATCATACCGGGATAGAGGATAGTTGATAAGAGTAAGAATAAAAGAGTAATTAAAGTATCGTTTTGAATTTCAGAATGATCTCAAAATGTACCCAAGCTTTCGTTTCCCGAAGGACGACTTTACGGGAAGAATATTGCCTAGTTCAATACGAAAGAGAACTCCAGAGCATCACATTTTAGGTAAGCATTGAAATATTTCCTCCGCGTTAAACTTGAAACTAATTGCGAAGTGAGTTACATTTTTAAAATCTTATAATTTGAACTTTATTGAATTAACATATGGACGAAAATGTTATGCTTCTGTGTATAGCTTCGAATGCTGCGATGCTAATGTTTACTACACGGAGCAACGGTATTGGAGAAACGTCCGTAAAAATTTGAAAAAAAAAAGAAAGGGAAAATGCTCAAAAATATTTTTAAGTTTCTGAATCTTTTTTTTAGATGCTTCTTATACTACCTCTAAAAGTGGTTGGAGTGGATTTTAATTAACTTTTCCTGGACTATCAGAGGTGCTGTGGGTGACATGATTATTTAAAAAAAAAAGTTTGCTTAAAAAAAAATTGTGTAGATAGTCAAACAAGATCCAGTAAAAACCGCATCTCAATATATTTATCCAAACCTAAGAAAAGAAGTTGAATTTGCGTTAGCATCTCCACTTTACTTGTTATTGAACTAAAAGATGGTTGACTAGCTTGCAATACTTATCATGAACCAGTGAAGCTGTTTTTTCGAGTAATGGAGGAATGAATCCTAATAATATGCATTATTGGTCGCCACTGAATCATCCTTGAAGGCGTGAAGCGAATTATCAAAATCGGTGCAGTGTGAACGTCTGGTGATCGAATTATAAGGGGTGTTTTTTTTTCGATGTATATAAATTTTATTTACCAGAAAGATAATCTTGGGGCCTTACATTTTAAATATGATTTCTGGCATATGACCGCCACGGCTGGCGCGGATGTAGTCCAATCTGGACGTCCAATTTTCGATGACTTTTTCCAACATTTGTGGCCGTATATCGGCAATAACACGGCGAATGTTGTCTTCCAAATGGTCAAGCGTTTGTGACTTATCCGCATAGACCAATGACTTTACATAGCCGCACAGAAAGTAGTCTAGCGGTGTTAAATCACAAGATCTTGGAGGCCAATTCACAGGTGCAAAACGTGAAATTAGGCAAAACGGCAATCTCGTTTTGGGCCCATTTGCAAGCGTTGTTCAGGAGTGAGTCTATTCATGATGAATTGCCAAACCAAACTGAGAACAAATCACTTGACAGCTGTTAAATCGGTCGCCATCTTGAACAGTAATGTCAACTTAGAGTTCTATACATCGAAAAAAAAAAATCACCCATTACTACCATTTTTCTTTAATAATAAAGTTAATGGTCAAATTCATTTTAATTGTTTAAGAAACCACTCGCCAACTTAACCAAACTGTTGGGTAGGACGGGACGATTTGTTTCAGTGGAGTGCGAGATCTTTATAATTTACTATCCTGGGGTAGAATAATCGATATCATCTATTAAACGCGCCCTACTACCTCTAAAAATATCATTGATCCAAATTGCCGTAACCAACTTTTCAAGACGTGAAATTAGTACAGCCGTATTAAATACACGACACAAGATACATTCCTGCAGAGAAAATGACGAAAGGCACTTTGAACATTAATAAAATGCAACCAATTTTTAGTCGATAATAAACCCCAATTTCCCAGTAATAGTAAAAGACATTTGCTAATTCGAAATAATCGATGAAAAATACGCCGCTAACATCGATACAAGATTTGTCTGCAGCATTTTTTAAGGAGAATATATTGAGCCTAAAATAAAAATAATTTTTAAATTACCCATTCAATGAAGCATACCTTATCGGTAAAAAAAGTGCTTAAACATTCATAATTCCAGTTTTTGTTAACGAAAACTACTCTAAAATAATTTGAGACTCGAAGTTTTTAATGTTGTGAACATAATTATTATAATTTTTTGGTTGGTGAAATAGTTTTTAATTTTAAAAAATGTTCCATCTAAATTTAGGACGGAATTCAATGGAATTTTTTGAACATTGTCTTTTGCTATTTGAAAGCAGTGTACAAAATATCAAAGAAATATCTAGAGTTGTAATGGGCAACTGTTGTTTATTTTCTACGCAGAATATGCGGCAAAATCCGCTATAATTCTTTGAAAAAAAAAATTAAAAAGCTAATAAAATCATACTTAGGTACAAGAAAGACACGTCAGCAGCAGATCAAATGGTTACAGCCCCACTAAACTACAATTATTGAATTGAAATTTTAGTTTGAATGAGAATATATTCGTAGGATTTAAGAAAATGAGTTTAAATTTGTAACAAACCAAATCGAAATTTTAGTTTCACTTTTACCTAAATTATTAAATCGACGACAAAGTATAACGAAAAACCAAAGTATTTCATTAAATTCAAAATCCAAACAACATACTCGGACCACTGCCAATATAGGGAAATATATTAAAACTCGAGTAAAGTTTATGAATCGAATGTAACGGAAAAATATTCCAACATGTTCCCAACAGAGGCGAAAGTTTGAAACTTTGTTATTAAGTAATCCCACGGAAACGATTAGGAGTCAAAACTCAATATCATCCCATAAAGTATTAAGAAGATTTTACGATCAGATTAACTTTTCATCGAAAATAGTTTTGAAGTACATGGAGGACAACTCGAAAGTGCTCGTGCGAGTTTTCTAACAATATATTTTAAAAGAAATTTTTGCGTAATATCAGAATCAAATTGAATCAGGTGCAAATTGGACAATTTGTGTCCCAAATATGAAAAATCGCTTAAAAACAATTTCCTAAGCGAGTCATATCCAAAAAAAAGTTGTTTTACCATTGTTTCCTATAATTGCGACCTTTTTTATTATTGAGATTGCGAGATCAGTTAGAATAGTAAAACAGGTTATAACGGGAATACAACTGAACATTTAATGGTACTCATAACGACAGGTTTAAAGTTTACAGTACATACATATAGAGAAAGACAGACAGGGGTGATCGCTCTAACTCCCTTATTCTGCTACTTTTTAAGAGTTATACAGGGTTATTCAGCCAAACCGTTCATTAAAACTGTCAAAAAACCTAAGTATTTCGAATATGATAGCCCTAATGCAGTATGATGGACAAATAAGGCCTGTACTTGATAACACTTAAAGTTACATTTGAAAAAAAAAACGTCTATAGCTATTTTTAAAATATGAATGTTTGTGGACTAATTTTGGATACCCTGTCCTAAAGTAGACAACAAAAATGTCAACTTGCGACTCTTTTTTAACATTTTGCCAAATATGGGTATCAAAGTTTTGTTTCAATTTGAAGTATTTTAAAAATGATTACATATATATATATATATATATATATATATATATATATATATATATATATATATATATATATATATATATATATATATATATATATATATATATATATATATATATATATATATATATATATAGGTATAGGACATTGTACATAAAACATTAGATATGACAATTTTCAAAATTGTTACCATTTGACACAATTATGCAATCATATAGGAGTGTCATTCATTTCCTGTTCGGTTACGAAACACCCTGTGTAATTCCAATAATTTTCTGATCACTACATAACTGGTTATTTTGAAGCCATAGTAAAATATTTATAACATTGGAATAAGGAAGGAAGAAATTATTCACACACAACAGTGCCAACCGAGATACAAGGAACAAGATGTAAGATTTAATTAACTGTGTTTTACAATAAAGTAATAACAGTAAATCAAAGAAAAGTATAATATAAATTAGATGGACACCTAAACATACAAAAACACAAAAAAAATGAATTTTCTATTTAAAGGAATTGCGATTTAATGATATAATATTTATGCCTAAAATATTATATAAGTCGTACTGAAGACTATCGCCTATCCATATTTTCAATTTTACATGTAGTTTCAGTAGATTGTGGTTGTACTAAAATAAATGTGAATATCAAGTATTTTTATTACCTACTTAAATTATTTTAAATTATTCACATAATATATCAATATCACTATCGCCTGTTATAATAAATCTAATAAACACAGGTAGGTATAAAAATATTTTCTATTACAGACCACAACTTTACCTGAATTTAAATTCCGAAACTCTAGGTAATAATCTTGTTGCATTGTATGTTAATGACCACCCTTATATAATCCCATTTAAAACCAATTGGTCACTTTCTTATATCTATGAACAGACTATACCTACTTCATTGTGATCGCTCGAGATATTTTCAAATCATCGGGAAAAACGTCATTGATAAATGCTTCGTTTAAAACACTGATGTTTTTAGCAGATTACTGTTGAGTTCATAATAATCAATGTATGAAGATTCCATTCACATCCAAAAGAGATAAATGAAATTCTTTCTCTATTGTAGCTAGTTATACTTTGAATGATCTGTTTTTGTTCTAATAGATCAAGATGTCTACCCTGAAGGTTGTAATAGTTCATATTTGGTTTTGTAAATGATTAATACGTGAAATTAGTTAATTCAAGTCCAAACCTGTTAAAACACGAATTTCTAGCGTTAGTATTTTCTACCTTGTTACTACAGTAGTTCAACGATAAACCTTAATCGATAGCAATATGGATGTACACAATCTTATTTCGTTTCCTTCAAATCACCAATGAATTAAAACTTAACCAACATTGCTGATCGCTTGTTGGGCTGTTTCGATTGTTAACTATTTTTAACCGGATCAATAATAAGAATTGGCTTCCTTTAAATTCGTGTGCTTTTCCTAACCTTAGAATTTTGTGTGGTCTACTTACATATTCTTAAAAGTGCTTTAATATCTGTACTGAAGGTTGATTTGTACTGATTTTAAAGTTTCATGACTTTATCTAGGTACTGTTACCTAGGTACCTACCACAGTCATTAAAATTGAGACATGCGAAATTAAATGTCTGCTGGTCTTCTTGTTGAGTCGAAATAAACGTTTCATTCGATATCTTAAAAGGATTATTATGATTCCTTATGTGTCGGGTTTCCAATCTTCTCCTTGCTCTAAAGGTTGCAATCTAGGACGCAAAAAGTATTTTTGTTCCTATTTGTAAATTATTTTGAGGTATAATAAGAAAAATTGTTAAATGATTACTTTTATAGTAAATAAACG